TTTTTTTTTCCGCTTTACGGCCCCCCAGCCCCCATCCCTCCCCCCTCCCGCCCTGAAAAAAAAATTTAAATATATTTTTCAGTTTTAATTTTATTAATTTATCGGTTTAAAGGCTCAAAATTTTACACGTTCCAAAATTATGAGTTCGGAGGTTTATGTGTTTGGAAGTTGACGGGTTTGAAATTTCGCGGTTTTGAAAATTTAGCGGTTCGAAAGTTTATGAATTTTGTGGGTCCGGAAAGTTGTTGGTTTGAAAGTTTATGGCTTCATGTTTATTATATCTAAATTATTTATGAATACTCTTGAGAAGTCATTTTCCTTAATTTGCGTACCAAACAACAGAAAATAAATAAGATTATTACTTGTTTTCCAAGAAAACATTTTCCGTTATACCAAACACACCCTAAGATTCTCTATTTTTTGTATGATAAATAAAACATGATTGTATGGAAAAGTTTTGTACTATCTTGTTCATTGAGAAACATCCTGCACCATCTTGCGCCTCTTAAAACTTCACTTATTTTTGCGAAAGAGCTTTTCTCCCACTAATGAATAATAATGCGATCGTAATCTCATTCTATGAAGTTAACCGGTTGGGATAAATGAATACCCTCTAAAGGTTTGAATGAGACAAAAGATCAATCTTCAGCCTGTAGCTAGGGGCTCCTTTCTATTGGGCCCCAAGTAAAGGGTGTGACCCCAAAAGATCCTTCGCCGCTATCATTTTGCGGCAATTTTTTACAGGCCGCCGTAAACATTTAACGGAGGTTATTTTCCGGGGGTTTAACCCCCACAAATTAAAATTTTAATCAATGCGAAACTTGTAAAAATATTCAACGGGGTTTAAAACCACCACAATATATCTTCGAAATATGGCAAGCTCTATTTCGCGATAGCTTTAACCCCCTCAATTTATTTATTTAATGGCAGTTGTAACCTCCCCTATTCTATGAAGACCTTTTATTTGGCAGGGCAATTGTGGGGATACCTGTTTTTCTAATACAATATTTTAATTATATTAAATAAATTTTAAGAGGCATTAACATAATACTAAAGATGCATAAATGTTAAGTAACATCCACATATTATAGAATCATAAGCAATTGAGAGATAGTATTGTCATTAATCTCAAAAACTAAACTTAAACACAAAAATTATCTACTTCTTCTTAGTAGCTTTCTTCTTCTTCTTAGTTCATCATATCAGAAATAAAAAGAAACCTTCTTCTTCTTCTATAACAAAAAAGGAGTAGAGAGAACCTAAATCAAATCACATGAAAAAATTATTGAAATTGGAGCAGAGAAATCTAAATCAAATCACATGCAGAAACTATTGAAATTCAGATATTAGGAAAACGTAATCAAAACCCTAGAGGAATTAAAATTGGATATAAACAGATTAGGAAGGAGAGGGTAGAAAGCTCCAATTCGAGTTGTACCTTTTGTTAGGAGATTCGGCGACAAACACGCTTCAATTCGAGTTGTAATTGCTGGAATTCACATTAAAATCGCACAAATATCAAACTTAGAGGAATTAAAATTGGATATAAACAGATTAGGAAGGAGAGGGTAGAAAGCTCCAATTCGAGTTGTACCTTTTGTTAGGAGATTCGGCGACAAACACGCTTCAATTCGAGTTGTAATTGCTGGAATTCACATTAAAATCGCACAAATATCAAACTTAGAGGAATTAAAATCGGATATCAACTATTTTCGCAATGCAGAGACTAATTTCGCACAACTATTTTCGCAATGCACAAATATTTCGCACAAATATTTTCACAATCAGATATCACATTAAATCGCAACTTAGAGTGAACCCTAAATCGTTAGAGTGAAAGACAATGGGAGATTAAAGAAAGAAGGAGAACTTGCCATTTCAGGAGGAGAAAGAATCTGGAAAGCGAACACTAAATCGTTAGAGTGAAGAGCGGAGATTTCTATTATTGGCGGACATTTCTGGAAAAAAGAGGGAAAGATAAAAATAAAGGCCAGCAGAGATTTATATTGTTAGCGCCTTTTTTTAAGGCTAGCAGAGGTTTCTAAATGCCGCAAATTGAATTTTAGTGCGGAGGTTAATAAGACCCCCCTCCCCTAATTAGATACAATTTGGGGAGGTTAATAATAACTCCCGTAATAAAACCGCCGCAAATAGACTGTTTTTTTGTAGTGAGTATAGCCACATACAGTGGCGTAGCCAGAAATTCTACCAATGATATTCAAACTTTAAACAAGTCAATAATTTTGTTTGCCGATGAATGATGTACACAATTTTTTGTAGATCTTAACTTTTAAATTATAAAACTTATTTAGAAAATAACTTTTAGTTAAAAAAATTACTTTTAATATTAATTATTTATTTTTAAACAAATTTTAAGTTTTAAGAGTTATTTTATTAGGAATTTTTTAGATTGCAAAAGAATCAAATAGACCATACATGGTGCTCTCCATTTAGTTTTGGCAAACAAAATGGGCAGAATTTTGAACTCGTGAATAACACTTCATTTAAACACCCTGAACCGCTAAACTGTCTCACTCAATTGTGTTAAGGGTGTTCAAAGTATAATATATATAACCATATAAGTAATATTTAACGTATATACGCAATATAATATTTTGGCGAAGAGTATGTGCTTGACCATTCTTAACATAAGGTGGTTACGCCACTGGCCACATAAATATTGTACCTTGTTTAGGACCACAAGCTTCAAAAGTCTTCATTTATTTCATAAAATTTGTGCCTTGTGAAATGAGTTCACATAAATTTTAATGGAGGGAGGTACTAGCTGATACTCCCCTCGTTTCAATTTAGATAATTTAGTTTGACTTGCCACAAAGTTTAAGAAAAAAGAAAGACTTTTGAAGCAAGTGGTGCTAAAAGCTTAAGTGGCAAAAGCTTAAGTGGCAAAAGCTTAAGTGGAAAAATCAATGTTTATCAAGCAGACGGTTCAGCAGCCCCAGCTTTAGCATTACGAAATATTAGTATTTCGTTTGGTAGTGGTAGAGTTTTAGCTTTAAAAGACACATTATATGTACCTTCCGTTAGAAGGAATTTAATTTCGGTTTATAGCGCTATCGCACCTCCTTTTTCCCGCGCCCGCGGGGCGCGTGGGGAGTTTACTCCAATTAAAGGACAGTCGAAACGGGATTTATTTAATTATTTAAGAGTCGCCACCTGGGAATTTTAAGGCGTCCCAAGTCACCAATTTCAATCCCTGAATCGAGGAGAATATGACTCCATTTATTATTCTGCGAACCAGAAATCCTGAGTAAGGAATTCTGTTAATCCGGAAGATGGTGTTAGGCATTTCCGAATTCCGTGGTTCTAGCACGGTCGCTTAACTGTTTTTATTATTGGCTTAATTATCTTGATTTTAT